ACATCTAGACACAAACCTTACACTTTTTGCAAAAATTAACTCAAATAGATAATATATTTATATGTAAAATGAAAAACCCAAGAAAGATAATAACATAAGATAGCCTTGAATTTGGCATTGACTTTTTAAAAATATTTTTTTAGTTGTAGATGGACATAATATCTTTATTTTTATTTATTTATTTTTATGTGGTGCTGAGGATCAAACCCAGAACCTCACATATGCAAGGCAAGTGCTCTACCAGTGAGCTACAACCACAGCGTTTGGCATTGACTTTTTACATACAACATCAAAGGAACAATTCATGAAAGAAAACAATTCATCAAAATTAAAAATTTCTGCTCTGAGAAAGACAAAATAACATGACAAGCCATAGACTGGAAGAAAATATTTATAATAAAAGACTTATCTGATATAGGTCTGATATACAAACATTCAAAGAACTCTAAAATAAGAAAACAATTTCATTTAAAAATGGGCCAAAAGATTGAGTAAATTACATTATATGTATGAATATGACATAATGAATCCCACTATTATGTGTAATCATAATACACCAATAAAAAGAAATGAACCAGATTTTAACAGACACCTTACTTAAGAAGATACACAGATGCTGAGTACAGTGGCACATACCTATAATCCTGAGGCAGGATGATCATAGGTTTCAGGCTAGCCTCAGCAACTCAGAGAGAGACCCTGGCTCCAAAGGGATTAAGGATATAGTTCAGTGGTAAAGGGTGTCCTGAGTTCAATCCCCAGTACCAAAAGAAAAAAAAAAAGGAAGGTTGGGGTTGTACCTCAGTGGTAGAGCACTTATCTTGCATGCGCGAGGCACTGGGTTCAATCCTCAGTACCACATAAAAATAAATAAATAAAATAAAGCTATTGTGTCCATCCATAACTAAAAAAAAATATTTTTAAAAAGAGGGGAGGAGGAGAAAGGGAAGGAAGAGAAGGAGAAGAGGAAGATGAAGAGAAAGAAGAGCAGGAGGAGGAGGAAAATAATGAAAAGAGAGGAGGGAAAGGAGGAGGAGGAGGAGGAAGAACAAAAACAACAGATGGCAAATAATTATGTAAAAAAATGCTCAACATCATATATCATCAGGGAAATTAATACAATTAATACAACAAGATATCACTATATATAATCTATTAGATGACCAAAATCCAGAACACTCACAATACCAAATGCTAGTGATGACTTGAAGAAACAGCTACTCTCATTCATTGATAACTGCCAAATGCAGTTGTAGCCACTTGATGCAAAATGGTATAGCCACTTTGGAAGACAGTTTCACAGTTGCTTATGAAACTATATGTTTTCTTACTATCTAATCCAGCAATAGTGCTTCTTTTTTTAATATTTATTTTTTAGTTGTAGTTGGACACAATATCTTTATTTCACTTATTTATATTTATGTGGTGCTGAGGATCGAACCCAGGGTCTCACATGTGTGAGGCAAGTGCTCTACCGCTGAGACACAACCCCAGGCCACAATAGTGCTTCTTGATATTTACCCAAAAGAGCTGAAAACTTATGTCCACACAAAAACCTGCACATAAATGTTTACAATGGCTTTATTCATAATTGCCCAAATTTGAAAGCAACCAAGACATCCTTCAATAGTTAAATAAACCAGTACATCTAGATAATGGAATATTATTTGATACCAAAAGGAAATGAGCTATCAAGTCATAAAATGATGTGAAGGAAATTTAAATGCACATTACTAAGTGAACAAAGCCAATACCATACTATTACAGCTATATGAAACTCTGAAGAAGGTAAAACTATAGGGATCATAAAAAGATTAGTAGTAGCCAGGAGGAGAGAAAGAACAACAAAAAGAGCTCAGAGGATTTTTAGGGCAGTGAAAAAATATGTGTGTATGAATTCTTTATATTGTAATATACTATATTATCCACCCTTTTATATACACAATTGTCTAAACCCATAAAATGTACAATACAAAAGTAAACCCCACTGAGTAACCCAAAAGTTTTCTATAGTAAACTATGGATTTGAAGTGATAATGATATGTCAGTGTAGGTTCATCAATAGTAACAAATGCACTGCTCTGGTAGGGAATGTTGATAATGAGGGAGGCTGTGTATGACAGGGAAGGCAATATGTAGAATGTCTCTAAATGCATATATTTTTAAATTTTCCTGTGAACTTAAAACTGCTCAAATAAAGGGTTTAGAAAACCAGGAGGAAAATAATTTAAGGGGCTAGGGTTGTGGCTCAGTGATAAAGTGCTTGCCTAGCATGTGTGAGGCCCTGGGCTCAATTCTCAGCACCACATATGAATAAATAAAATGGTCCACTTACAACTAAAAACTATATATTTTAAAAAATAATTTATTTAATTTAATAATTTAATTTAATTGCCAGTATCAATTCAGGATTCTAGACATGTACCAAATTTTATTAAAACTAAAATGGAATTCCATTTTTTATATAGGTACTTATGGCTCCTGAGGTATTGTAGAATTACTAGTGATTCAAAGTCAAAGGACAGAAGTTGTTTAAATCTTGTAATAGTACTGCAAATAAAATTGGACTTATTAAAAAGAAAAACAGTCATGAATTGAGACACAGCATAAGAGATCATTAAAATGGATAAGTGACAATAAGTAGTATATCACTGTCAAACATTTACTTAAGGAAAAAAAAGACTTTAACAGAATACGGAGGCAATTATCCCCTTTGCACAGGATTTCAATGCAAAGAAACTGATAAAGGATGAAGATAATATAGTCACAAATGGAGAAAAAGAAGAAACACAACTAAATGGTTATGTAGAGATTTACCTCTGAACAATGATGTTACTAAACAGAAAAGCTGAACAAGTTTAAGGCTCCACTTATTAGGGACAATTTAGAGACTATCAACTTTGTATGGAACTATCAAACCTAAAAATAGGTGGTTTAGTTTAGAAACGATTAAAACACTCAACCACATTTGTAAAAACCAAGTAAAATTGAAGAGTTGAGCTTGATTCAATAAAGTATTGCAGGTTTCATCCAGAATGATTCAGAGAGATCCAAGAAACTAATCTGGTGAAGTAGCACAGGGAAGGTTCCCCAAAATAAAATACAGGATAAAATGGTAAGGACTTCATGGGATAGGGTCAACGAAAGAAAGATATTAATAATGAGAGATTTTCAGGAGCTGAGGAAATCCAGGCTGTTCAGTGCAGAAAAGACTGAAAAAAAAAAAAAAAAAGATAAATGAGAATGGATGGAATCTGAGAAAAGGCATAACATGAATTCTGAGAAAGGGGATTGATTTATTTAAAGGAGCAAGATTTAGGATCCAGGCTAAACTCATCATAAAATATCAAAAACTGAACATCAATTTAAGACAAACTAATCCTATAATAGAGGGTACCTCTATTCATATACTGTTTCCTTATACATTTTAATTCTTTAATTGGGGTCATTCAGTATTAAATCTCCATGCTGCTAGGAAAGCAAAAACAGTTCAGTCCCATAAAAATGTTCTCAAAAGAATCCAGATTCCAAAGCAATCTCAGTAAAAGGAAGATGTAAGGCATAAGTATGCAGAAGGCTTAAATTAAAAAGAGAACACACTCAAAGACTATCTCATTGAAATAGAGACCAGAAGATTAAAAAACCTATCCATTTTTGAAAAATGAAGAATTCTGAAGGATAGGGTATCATGTGGTTATAAGCAGATAGGAAAAAAAAAAACATTTTAGGTTGATAATAGGAAAAATAAAGTAGAAGTAAAGGAGAGCACTAATATCCAGTGGTCTCCAACTTACTTATAAAAGGCACTAATTGATCTTTAAGCTTTATTACATAAATCCTGAATAAAGTACAGCCAAAAGAAGCAGGAGAACCTCCTAAAGGGGCTGCAGAGCTGTCTCCTGCTTCACTGAAGCATCTCCTCAGGGTCAAACAAATCAAAGGTCAGTGAAGATAAACTGTCCAGGCCAAGCTGATGCTGGGAGTAGAACAAATATCCTGGGATCTGTGCACTTTTGAAAAGGGCTCCAGCTGCACCTGTTTGTGGCCTCAACATCACTGAGTTGAGAACAACTCAAGAGAAATAGGGAAAAGGAGAAAAGGGAGAAAAATTAAAAAAACATCTTTTTCTCTATTCTTTCTCCTCTAATTCTTTTTCTAGTAATGACAATGGATGCTAATCTATTTACTATCTTCCTGATTTGCCATGTTGTGGTAAAGCTAAGTTTAAACTAAATATAACTACTAAATAGATTTATAATTTTATTATGATCATACTCTAATCAACTGACCAAACTGGGAGAGAAACTTGTATAATCAGAAAGCTTAGGGCAAAATGAAATGATCATCTTTATTTAATTTTGATTCATATCAAACACTTTAATATTTGTAGTATCACAATGTTTCATTAAATAGTTATTACAAAGATGAACACAAACTAGCAATGATTTCAGGGTTTTATATGACTGTGACTAGACTGACATCAGAAAAAACTTATTTGACCTTGTAGTAAAAACATAGGGACCTGAGTAGTAAAGTGGACTTTCAAAGCTGAAAATGGCCAGAATTATACTCTGAAACTCAAGTAGTAAGAATACATAAAAGAGCAGTATATTCTTTTAAAACCATCCTGTAGTATGATTTGAAGTCAGCTTCCTTAATGTGATTTTTTAACATCCAAAGAAACCTCAGAGGTATTTTATGATTGATTTTTTTAATAAAGCAAATTTTACCACAGCAGATTTAGTACAATACTTTCTAAAGCAATAGTGACTCTGCTAAATTCACTCTCTCATCCTTACCTTGAAAAGGAATTCTCAAAATCCAATTAGTCTAAGCAATCACACATTTCTATTACTACTAACTGTGATAAAATTTTCAAGAAAAAAATTCTCAGCATGTTTATACCTAGCAGATACCAGAAAATGTAGTCAAGGTTCAAGAATACTAAACTATAAATTATCATACAAATTATAAATTGTGTATCATCCAAAGCAGCTTACCTTGTAGTTTTTTCAAAACAGCAACCTCCATTTTCAGAACTTGTTTTGGTTGTTGAGCTGATTCCACTTTCAGTGCAACATTTTCCCTGGTGAGCATGTCCAAGGCATCGTAAATTTCTCCAAAGCCCCCACCCCCAATTTTTCTCAACTGCACAGAAAATAAAATAAGAATAAACTCAAAATTATGAGAAGATTCTAACTGGGAACAAATTCAGATCTCTTATTTAGAAAAAATATATATAATTTAACAATCCCCATTTTATGATTAAATATTCAGTACTGTTAAATTAACTATGTATATGGCAAAAAGAAATCAAAAGCCTGAAAATAACATCAAAACCTTTTTCCAAGGGTCTTCCTCAAAAAGTAATGAAATTATTTCAGTCACAAACAATTTGAAAACTTGATCTATAGGCAGCAGCAGAAAAGTCACAAAAAATATAATATCTGAAAGAATCAACTTCCACAAATGCCACTCAGATTTATTATTTAAAAAAAAACTCTAAAACAGTCATCTGCACACTTTTTAAACCATAAAATCTTTTTGCCAATTGATATCTCACTTTGAACCAATCTAGTGTATGCGTACAGGGGAGGTCAGAAGATGGAGCCAGCACCCATCCCTCTCACCACTATTGACTCTTCTCTGAGGCAACTAACAGGCTCCACAAAGCAGGCAGAGAACTACTCTGAAGAATCCCAGAGTTATGCATCTACACATTCAAATAAGAGTAAGTTGTAATTGATTGAAGTACTTTCATGAAATATTTAATATTTTTCTAATAAGATGAAAAATTAACTGGGAAACATCATGATTTTGTATTGGTATCATAAACAATTTCTGATGAGCTAGAGACAACTAGACCTATAAGGTTCTAAAGAAAATGGAGTAGGTGATGTATTTCAAGTTAGATAGCATGAAATCAGTCATCTTCCATTTCTTGACCCTAGATCGTCTTTTCCTTATATTTTCAAATCCCTAGGATGTGATATAACACAGGAAGCCATCACCAGAAGCATGGGGTCTTAAATCCTAATCCCTCAAGAGGCCCCATGTCATGTCCTACTTATTTCTCCATTGAATTTTCATTGATTATTATACCTAGGCTAATTTCTTTCTCATCTGAATTTCTATGAGAATAATTTGTTTAGTCATGCAATTAATCATTTTATCAGTCCACACCTCAAAAATTATTATTATGTATTATTCTACTACTTTTTAACTCATGTTGCTTAACTTTCTATTGTCAATGTCCCACCCCACTATAGAAAAAGTTTCAAAGAGAGAGTCATTTATCTTACTTCTTTTAAGTCCTATAGCATTTGGAAAAGTCCCAGTTACATAGTTATTGCTTAATAACTATTTAATATTTTGCATGTTTGAGTCATAATTGATATTCATTTTGGTTTGATGTAAGGAAGGAAATATCTTGAGGAACTATAGGATGAGCTTGAGTTAAAAAATAAGCTTCAGAACTATTCAATTAAATATGTTGCTGTTTGTTGGGCCATGATTACTGCTTATGATTCTATATATTTTGTCCATTAAACAAAGCCTAGAGTAACTTGAAAAACTCAAAAATAAGCTGGACATAGTGGTGCACATCTGTAGTCCCAGCTGCTCAGAAGGATGGGGCAGGAGGAAAGAGTTCAGAAGTTCACAGCCAAACTGGTCAACATAATGAGACCCTGGCTCAAAACAATAACAAAATTCACAAATAGTTCCAAAGGGATGTCCTTCTAATTATGGATAGATGAGGGGGTGGCTTATTGTTTTACCTCACAAAACCTTACCAAATGACAGAATTTTTAAAAATAAAAAAATTAGACTTTAGTAAATGTTTTTGCCATTAGTTTATTCTTATATGCCACTTGAGTATAAATAAAGCATTAGTGAATAAGACAAACATTATTACCCTATATACATGTACTACACGACTAGTGTGGCTCTGCATCATGTACAGCTGTAGGAGTGAGAAGTTGTGCTCCATTTGTGTACAATGTGTCAACCTGCATTCTATTGTCATGTATAACTAATTAGAACAAATGAAAAAATAAAATAAATAAAGCATTAGTATTTTTTAAATTATCTTGACAAAACCCTAAGACATTATCAATGCTTCTGAGGCTAAGGGACAGAGGCAGTTTAGTAGATGGGGATACACAGATTAAAGATGACTACTACTGTATCTCTGTCCAATTCTTACTCTTCTTCAGTGTGAAGAAGGCCTTTCATATTAAAAAAGAAAATGTGACATTGCCATTCTCCCATCAAGAGATAGATTCTATTTTCCCACCTCCTTAAATCTGGGTGAATTTTGTAAGTGATTTAACCAACAAAACAGAGGAGAGGAACACTGTGCCAATTCTGAGGACAACCCTTAACTACCTAGTAGCTTCTGCTTCCTGTCTTTTGAAAACAAGTCACAATAAAAAAAAAAAAAAGGGTCTCTCAAAAATAGAAAGGAAACCCATAGAGTAGAGGAAGGGGACTGAGAGGGAGAAAGGAGAGTAAAAAGAGGTTTAGGGGGAAAAAAAATCAAATAAATTATGCAATGTCCATGCATGAATATACCACAATGAATTCCACTTTCATGTAAAATTATAATGCACTAATTTTAAAAAAATAATAGAAGGGACACCAGTAAAGTAGATGAAGGGGATCAGGGTGAGGAAGGAAAGGAGGGAAAAGGGAGGTACTGGGGAAGGAAAGTGATAGAATAATGTTATATGCACATATGAGTATGTCACAATGAACCCCACTATTATGTATTATAATGCACCAATAAAAACCATATTTTAAAAACACAGCTACAAAATAATGCATGTGACCATCTTTAGAAGTCACAGACATAGCCACATTCAGGCTCTGTGGTGCACGCCTATAATCCCAGCAGCTCAGGAGGCTGAGGCAGAAGGATCATGAGTTCAAAGCCAGCCTCAGCAACTTAGCAAGGTCCTAAGAAACTCAGTGAGATCCTGACTCTAAAGATGAAAAAAACATGGGCTGGGGCTGTAGCTCAATGGTATAGTGCCAGACTCACATGTATGAGGCACTGGGTTCAATCCTCAGCACCACCTAAAAATAAGTAAATAAAGATATTGTGTCCACCTACACCTAAAAAAAATAAAAATAAAATACAAAAAAGGGCTGGGGATGTGGCTCCATGGTTAAGTGTCCCTGGGTTAAATCCCAGATACCAAAAAAAAATCAGCCATAGGAAATTTCCTAGAAAATGAACCATGAGTGAGTGTGTAACTGATGTGATTCTGCAATTTGTATTTGGGGTAAAAATGGGAGTTCATAACCCAATTGAGTCAAATGTATGAAAGATGATATATCATGAGCTTTGTAATGTTTTGAACAACCAATAAAAAAAAAAAAAAAAGAAAGAAAATGAACCATGAAACTGGAGACAGTGGAAGAGCTAAGGATCCCAAAGGTACCAGAAGTGAGCATTTGGAAGTGGATCCTCCAACCCAACCAATCTTACTAGTGCCACATGACTAAAAAAGACAAACCACCCAAGCATACCGGTCCCTAATTTATAATCCACAAAATTGTAGTGGGGTAGGGAGCGGGAGCATGGGAGGAATAGATGAACTCTAGATAGGGCAGAGGGTTGGGAGGGAAAAGTTGGGGGGCAGGGGGTTAGCAAGAATGGTGGAATGTGATGAACATCATTATCCAAAGCACATGTATGAAGATACGAACTGGTGTCAACATACTTTATATACAACCAGAAATATGAAAAATTGTGCTGTATATGTGTAATAAGAATTATAATGCATTCCGCTGTCATTTTTTTAATAAATAAAAAAATTGTGAGCAAATAAAATGACTGTTTTAAATGTCTATGTTTTGATGTAGTTTGTTATATAACAATAAGTAACTGAAGTACCATCCTAATAATGAGCCTGTGCTGTTATTAAAAATGCCACTCTGGGGTTCCGGATATAGCTCAGTTGATAGAGTACTTGCCTCACATGCGCAAGGCCCTGGGTTCAATACCAGGCACAATTAAAAGAAATAAAATAAAAAGCCCCTCCTCCTTTCAAATTTGGGGGGATAAATTCCACAAATATATTAGCTCTCATTATCAGGAAAAGAGAGAGCCATGTAGGCATATCTTCACTTATTACCTTTTGATATGTCTACTGGAGCAGAGCCAATCCTATCATAGTACTTAGAACAATGCTAGGAACCGAAGCAACAATTACCAAATTTTGTAATCTCCCCACACCAGTCCATGATGATGACATGGTTCTTATATTTGGTGAAGCAAATTTTCAAAGCCTACTGATCTACCTAGTCAGTAAAACATCCTATAATATAGAAACAAAATTTTTACTGCCAAAAAAAGGCTGAGGATATAGCTCAGTAGTAGCACACATACTTTCCACGGGTGAGGACCTGTGTTCAAAACCCAGGAAAAAAAAATATTGCTAAAGGGTCTTTCCTTTTTCTATCTATTGACAAATTAAGGAAACCACTAAAATAGCTTTGTGAAACCTGCTAATGGAACAAAACTTTGGGCGACAAAAGACTAGACAGCAATAAAAATACTTAAATATACTGAAAACAAAAACAATTCCTTTAAAAAATAAAGTCTATTAGGATCATGTCAAAGGAATTCAGAAGACAACTTGAAGGATGTCCCCCTTAGTCAAATGGGACAATTTGAATATCTATAAGGACAACAACTATAATGGACTAAAATATATCAAATCTACAAATTCTTAACTATACTAAAAAACAAATTTCACTGGTAACTTTTGGAGTATGCTAGGGAACTAAGCAAAATAAGCAAGCATTGCTTTCCTAATCAAACAGCTGATGACAGAAATTTCTCTTTATAGGTATATTTCAACTAATAAATGAAAAAAAAAATGATAGAATATCAGCAATTTTCAATCCCCCCAAAAAAAATTTAATAGGTCTGAGCACAGTAGCTTTAATCCCAGCAACTCCAGAAGCTAAAGCAGGAGGATCACAAGTTCAAAACCAGACTCGACAATTTAACAAGGTCCTAATCAACTTAGCAAAAACCTGTCTCAAATGAAAAATAAAAAGGACTGGGGATATAGCTCAGTGGTAAAGCATCCCTGGTTTCAAACCCCAGTACCATCCCCCAAAAAAACAATGAACAGACCTAGGCAATACACATCAATAGCTACTAATATAACAAAATAGCCCTTCTAGTTAAAACTACATTATATCATTCATGAAAAAAATGGGGGTCCCACTTCAAGAAACAAACCTAACTCATATATAATCAGCCCTCTAAATACAATTACCAGTTTACATGAAATATTTGAGACAGAAAGACATATTAACATTGATGGAAGCAATGAGTAATATCCAAACCAATGTGAAATTCTGCATATAAATCACCTTGTTTCTTCGGTAAATTAATGTTAAGGAAAAGAGAGAGATACAGATAAAGAGAAATCTAGAAAATGAAAGAATAAGTACCACTTTCAATACCCAGACCTAATTTAGACCGTGATTCAATTTACCAAAAACAATTTACAAAAAAATAAGGGAAATGTGAAAACTGAAAGGCTATTCTTCGATATTAAGAAATTATTACTGGGGGCTGGAGATGTGGCTCAAGCGGTAGCGCGCTCGCCTGTTATGCGTGTGGCCTGGGTTCGATCCTCAGTACCACATACAAATAAAGATGTTGTGTCCGCCGAAAACTAAAGAATAAATAAGAAATTCTCTCTCTCTCTCTCTTTCTCTGCTCTCTCTCTTAAAAAAAAAAGAAATTATTACTTCTTTGGGTGTGATAATGGTAGTATGATTATGTTTTAAGAAAGAAGTCCTGATTTTTTAAATATACACACTAAAGCAAGTACAGAAATACTAAGGTTAAAGATTGTGTCAAAATACTCTGGAAGGAAGATGAAAGAGAACAATCAAGATGAACAACAAATACTTATAATTTTCCTTAATTAAAAGGAACATGCAGTTCACTGTACTTCCAAACACTGTATTTTTTTTTCATGTGTTCTTTCCTTAAGTACACTTTCATTTACCTTACTTAACATAGCTACTAGAAGTTAGGAAGATATAGTACTTTATGAAGAAAAACTAAGAATTCAAGTATAAACCGAACTTAATCATAACTGCTTTAGGCACAAAAACAATGTAGGTATTATTGCCTAATGAAATGGTATTTTTACCAAGATACCAAAATTGACCCCTATATGTACAAACAAACACACACACACACACACACACACCCCAAGAAGTACACTCACCACTTTCCATCTTTCTTTTACTAGGATTCCAACACTGAGGATATCCGGCTGCTCTCCTCCCCCACTCATTGCAAAACACTGATGTGGTAGAACAGCTACACAGGCATCTAGCTCCCAAGGATGGTTTCCATTTAACCTAAAACAAAAGAAATAGTAACATATCAGGGCTAATTAATCCACACAACATTTCAATATCAAGAAGGCTGGGGTTGTAGCTCAGTGGCAGAGCGCTTGCCTAGCATGTATGAGGCACTGGGTTCGATGTCTCAGCACTGCATATAAATAAATAAAATAAAGATCCATTGACAACTAAAAAAAAAGCACCAGTTGGGACTGCAAATTGGTGCAGCCAATTTGGAAAGCAGTATGGAGATTCCTTAGAAAGCTGGGAATGGAACCACCATTTGACCCAGCTATTCCCCTTCTTGGACTATACCCAAAAGACCTAAAAAGAGCATACAACAGGGACACAGCTACATCAATGTTCATAGCAGCACAATTCACAATAGCTAGACTGTGGAACCAACCTAGATGCCCTTCAATAGATGAATGGATAAAAAAAAAATGTGGCATTTATACACAATGGAATACTACTCAGCAGTAAAAAAATAACAAGATCATGGCATTTGCAGGGAAATGGATGGCATTAGAGCAGATTATGCTAAGTGAAGTTAGCCAATCCCTAAAAAACAAATGCCCAATGTCTTCTCTGATATAAGGGGTGTGACTCAAAATAGAGTAGGAGGAAGAGCTTGAGAAGAAGATTACCACTAAATAGGGAAGAGAGGTGGGAGGGAACAGGAGGGAGAAGGGGAATTGCACAGTAGATGGAAGGAGACCCTCATCGTTATACAAAATACATGTATGATGATGTGAGGGGGAAGAAAAAAAAGAGAGAGAAATGTGTCACAGTAGATTGGGTAGAGAGAAGTGATGGGAGGGGAGGGGAGGGGAGGGGAGGATAGGAAGGGCAGCAGAATACAATAGACACTAGTATTGCTGTATGTATATACGTGGCCATATAACCAATGTGATCCTGCAACCTGTACACGTGGAAAAATGAGAATTCATACCCCATTTGAATCAAATGTATGATATGTCAAGATCATTATATTAATAATATAATATATATCAATTAATTTAAAAAAAGCACCAGTCTTATACATTAAGTAGAAAGCCTTGTTGGAAAGGGGGGAAATGCCTCACAAAGTATTCCAAAAGTTAATGCATATCTTAAAAAGCACATTATTTTTTTACTATAGATTTCCAGACATTACAAAGACACTGTTACAACACAAACATTATTTACAATAACTGAGATTGCTAGACTAAAGAGCAAGCATGGGGTCGATGGCATTTGACCGAAATAGACCACTATCTTGAATGCAACATACTGTGAAAAAGACACAGTACCTAATCTACAACAGTTTATAGTTTGCTAGGTTGTAACACAGTTATCTTAACATCATTAGAGCTATTCATTTTTGTTCTTGTTGATAAACAGTATGCCTTTATTTTATTTGTTTTATTTTTATGGGATGCTGAAGATGGAACCCAATGCCTCACACCTGCTAAGCAAGCACTCTTTGTCACTCAACTACAGCCCCAGTCTGAGCTAATCATATTTTAATGTTACAAAATGCACTTAAATGAGAGCTAGAGATATAGCACAGTTGGCAGAGTGCTTGCTTCGCATACACAAGGCTCTGGGTTCAATCCCCAGCACCACACACACACACACTAAGAAAATGCACTTAAATGCACAGGAAATAAACATGAACACAGAAATGTACTTTTGGTCAAACAATGAAAGGAGAACAATAGTGAAAAGAATAGCATACCTGCAGAAAATGAAAAGATAGAAATACACAGCCTAAAGGAGATGAAAACTAAGCTAGTCTAGGAATTAGAGATTAATTAGAATGATTTTCAGGAAATATTGTTCAATAGAAAAAAGCAAGATGCAAGTAAAGGGTTTGTGGTATGCTTCCTTTTATGTAAAAGGAAAGTAAATGTTGAGTAAAATATTTGCTTTTATCCATTTATTTAATATATTTTATTTATTTATTTATTTTTATGTGGTGCTAAAGATCAAACCTAGTGCCTCATACATGCCAGGCCAGCACTCCACCATGAGCCACAACCCTAGCTCTATTTGCTTTTATTTTTAAAAAAGAAAAAAAAGTCAAAAACTGATGAAAATTATTCTCCCTAAGAGGATTAGGCAAACTTTTTCAGTAAAGGGATAGAAAACAAATATTTTAGGCTTCACAGGACCTATATATTCACTGTAATAGCTACTCAACTCCACCACTAAAACACAAAAAGAAGCCATAAAAAGCCTGGCAGTGGTGCACTCCTGAAATCCCAGCAACTTGGGAGGCTGAGGCAGGATTATAAATTTGAGACTAGCCTCAGCAACTTAACTACTCTTTCTCAAAATAAAAAGGACTGGGGGTGTGACTCAGTGGTAAAGCAACCCTGGGTTCAATTCCAGTACCAAAAATTTAAAAAAAAAAAAAAAAAAGCAAAAAACAATATGTAAACAAATAAGTTTACATTTGTGGGTGGGGGGGAGTGTGTGGGAGGTTGGTCAAATCTGATCTGCAAACTGTTATTTAACAACATTGACTCAACAGAAAGGGAGGGTAGGGAGAGGATGAAGAGTATTAAAGATGGAAGCCAAACGTGAATATACCTTGTAATACAGTTTTTATTTTGGAACTATGTAAATGTTTTGTATATGATAAAAAAAATCCCTATACTCCAAATTCAAAAAAACAATATAGGAAATGATCATGGAAACTGGATTTAAACATAGCTTGGTGGCACATGCCTGTAATTTCAGAGACTGGGGAGGCTGCAGCAGGAGAATCACAAGTTCAGGGCCAGCTTCAACAACTCAGCAAGACCTTGTCTCAAAATAAAAAATAAGGGCTGGGGATATTATTCAATAGAAGAGTTTTCCTAGGTTCAGTCCATAGTACCAGAAAATAAATAAACTAACCAACCAATCAAATAATGATAATAGCTTCGAAAGAATGATTAACATTCAGAAAGTCAACCAATCAATAACAGCCACACTTCATAACCACACTTGCATAATACAAGGTCATTCTATGCCTAAATTCTTCTGTCTTATCAATCCCTGAACACAATTCCCAAATCGAATACATTAGCAGTTTGCTTCATTCAGAAAAAGCATGCCCTACAGTCACAGCTATCTCTGCATAGCACACAATAAATTTACCATTTTGTTCAGATATTGAATAGTGACACCTGAAAAATAGTGAAAATGCAAAATTAAACCAAAAAAATTTTAAAAACACTAAAAATGGAAGGTGTAAAATTTCTAAAAATTTAAAATAAACCCAAACCCATTGCTTACCAAGTTTGTTCCATAATCACATAGAAAATAATTGTTTCAAGCGGCTTTAAAATACAGTATTTTGGCCAGGTGTTGTGGCACAGGCCTATAATCCCAGCAGTTTGAGAGGCTGAGACAGGAGGATCACACGTTCAAAGCAAGCCTCAGCAATTTAGCAAGACCCTAAGCAATTTAGTAAGACCCTGTCTCTAAATAAAATATAAAAAAGGGCTGAGGATGTGGCTCAATTGAACATGCCCCTACGTTCAATTTCTGGTACCTAAATAAATAAATAAAATATAGTATTTGATTGTACATCCCACTGGAAAATATCTTAGGAAATAAATGAACCATAAAGAAATCTTAAGGCTAGAGGGCATAGATCAGTAGTAAAATGCTTGCCTAGCAAGTGCGAGGCCCTAGGTTTGATTCCCAGGGGCTGCAAAAGAAAAAAGAGAAAGAAAACTTAAAAACTGCAGTTAGCAGAAGACGCCATCAAAAGCCTACCAACCAAGAAAAGCCCAGACAAATTCAAAGCTGAGTCCTACAAAATCTACAAAGAAGAATTAATATCATATTCCTCAAATTATTCTGTGAGATAAAAAAGGAAGGAACCCTTCCAAACTCATTCTACGAAGCTAGTATCACCCTGATACTAAATCAGGCAGACACACATCAAGGAAAGAAAATTTCAGACCAATATCCCTGATGAACATTGATGCAAAAATTGTTAATAAAATTCTGGCAAATCAGGCAGGGGCTGAGGTTGTGGCTCAGTGGCAGAGCATTTGCCTAGTATGTATGAGGCACTAGGGTTTGAGTCTCAGCACCACATAAAAATTAATAAAATAAAGGTCCATTAACAACTAGAAAATTTTTTTTTTAATTCTGGCAAATTGCATACAGAAACATATTTAAAAAATAGTGCACCATGGTCACATGGGGTTCATTCCAGCAATGCAAGGTTGGCTCAACATATGGAAATCAATAAATATAATTCATCACATCAATAGACTTAAAGATAAGTGTTGAGAGCCACAGCCAAAGGGGCCCCAGCAAACTTCCAGCTGCCAGCAAACTTCCAGCTGCTGGCTGATGATTGGCTCACAGCGGCCCCAGCAACATCTAGCTGATTGGCTCCTCTGCGGTGATGCTCATTGGGCTGTTTCCCTGCCCTTTCAGACCACGGAGCTGCTCATTGGGGGACATTTTTGGCTCCGCCCACATGACCCAGCCAATCGGCCTCAAGAGCAGGAGGATTGTGGGAGGTGGAGAGAAGCTGGTGTGGGAGAGAGAGGCTTGTGGAAAGCCGGTGGTGGCAGTTGAGGCTCTGAGGGTTTTTCCTGAGAGGCTGTTTTGTTTGGCGTGTGTGGTTCTAAAAATAAAGTTAGTTTCTTTTGACAAGTGGCTCCTGATTGTGCCCAGCCAGACTGCGGCATTTGGTGGCTCGCACGGGGAGCGACTGAGGGTAAGTGAAACTGCTCGCCCCTGAGGGCAGGGCGAGAGGATGGGTAGCCATTTTAAGATTCCTCTTTTATTTTGCTTCACTTTTAAGTTGCCTGTCCCTGGAGATGAGTGAGACGGAAGAAAAACCGCTCACATCTGAGGAAAAACTATTTACGTCTGAGGAACAGATAGGAAGGAGGCATCCCAGTAAAATCAAGAGCAGTCAGGGCATACGTTGATACAATACGGAAATGTAGCCCATGGCTTTTTAAGGAGGAGTTGTTAAATATATCACAATGGAACCATCATGGTGAAGATTTAAA